GATCATCTTGTACGGTAAGGGTACCAGGGAACTCATAATCCATTATATTTCATCTATAATATAAGCTTATACAGGTAAAAATGTTGCGAGCTTGGGTGGAAAAGAAATGCTACTTTTCTGCACCATGTGGACTAATGAAGACTGACGTGCTTGTGTGGTAAGTGTATATCTAATGGTTTAGGGTGGTAGAATATGACAGGTAATGGTCGAGGGCGGTAAGCGTATGGTATCTTATGATATAAGATGATTCTGTCTAATGATCCACGATGGTAACGGCATGGTGTCTAATGATCTAGGATGGTTAGGGGATGGTATCTAATAATCCAGGATGGTAAGGGTATGGTGTCTAATGATCTAGAGTGGTAAGAGTATGGTATCTAATGATCCACGATGGTAACGGCATGGTGTCTAGGGTGGTAAGAGTATGGTATCTAATGATCTAGGGTGGTAAGAGTATGGTATCTAATGATCCACGATGGTAACGGCATGGTGTCTAATAATCTAGGATGGTTAGGGGATGGTATCTAATAATCCAGGATGGTAAGGGTATGGTGTCTAATGATCTAGAGTGGTAAGAGTATGGTATCTAATGATCCACGATGGTAACGGCATGGTGTCTAATGATCTAGGGTGGTAAGAGTATGGTATCTAATGATCTAGGGTGGTAAGAGTATGGTATCTAATGATCTAGGGTGGTAAGAGTATGGTATCTAATGATCCAGGGTGGTAAGGGTATGGTTTCTAATAATCTAGGATGGTAAGGGTATGGTGTCTAATAATCCAGGATGGTAAGGGTATGGTGTCTAATGATCTAGAGTGGTAAGGGTATGGTATCTAATGATCTAGGGTGGTAAGGGTGTGGTATCTAGTGATCTAGAGTGGTAAGAGTATGGTATCTAATGATCTAGGGTGATAAGGCTGTGGTATCTTATTTTCAAGGGTGGTAAGGGTGTGGTATCTAATGATCTAGGGTGGTAAACGTCTCTCAAAAATAATATACCTTGTTGTCAGTTTCTCTGACTTCGACGTATATATTGCGGCGATGATAATTTCAAAATAAAACCTGAGGAAATGGTCTCATTTTTCTCTGCAGAAGGATATCCTGGTTCTGTGACTCAAACAGCACTTCAGAGGTTTATTGGTCTTACTTGGGGTGATGCCCCAAAGCCTGCATTCTGATCCGAGTCTCACACCTATTTTCAAACATTTACCAATGACTGCTTTCCGTAAAGATAAAGGTCTTTCTAATCATGTGGTTAGAAGCCGCAAAGTTACTGCCAAAACATCACACATCCGCTACGCGAATTTATACAATGTACACGGGTTTTTTTCTGTTTATACATCGATAAACTGAAAAAATGTCCAGGCCATTCCTTAAATGTTTCCGTGACCTACATCTTTTTAGTTTATTATCTCCCTTTGAAAAAAAATTTTCTTGTTCATCTTACTTAGCTGTATGTGCCATTTTTTGTCAGATTAGTGTTGTTCTTCGTAGAGATAGGACCTTTCTCTTTTGATTTTTGTTTTTTTGCCACATTTACTCTAAATGTACTGACTTGTATTGACTTTTTTACCAACTGTTTGCACGTTATCGTGCGATTTATTTTTTCTATATTAAGGAACAGAATTTCAATTTGCAGTCAAGAGAATTAATTTGAAAAAATATCGGATAAATATTTGATTATGTAATTCAGTTATTGCTGGACAGTAAGAGAGAACGATCCGGGGTGAGAATATACCCGGATGAACCAGAAATAGTGCGAAAATGTACAGGGGCGAATGGACTCATATTCGTCTCAAGGTGGTATCCCCACTCTTTGTTTAAAAAAAACTGGTACAAAAAATAATGTTTCTTGCAGAACTTAGGTCAATTGTGTAGACATAATTAAACAAAAAGGAATCTTGTCAAAGACCAGTTAAATTACTGTATTTCTTAAAATCTTGAAATTTATCTAAGTTTAGTTATTGTTAATCAGGGCACACGACACAGTTATTTTACTTTTAACGGCATCTGTTAGCAAAGACAAGCCCAGTATTAAAAAACAAAATAATTAAAAAAAAATTCACAAAGAGTGTTAAAGATTTGATAAATTAAAACTTATTAATCAATGAGTGTTGATATTTTAATTGTTAAATAAACTGATCAGGTAGGTAATTACAATCACACTCCATATTCCTGTGTTGTAAATAGCGTTACCATTGTTACCACCATTATCACCGTTACCAGCATTACAAGCAGGTGGAATCTGTTTCTCGTACACCGTAACAAACGTAGTTTGTGTATCGGGACATTCCGTTTTGAATGTTTCGTCATTTCTTAAACAATTTAAGCCGATCTGACGAGAACTAAAATGAAATAAAAGGAAAACAGTAAGACGAGAAGAATGATATTTACATCATACATCTAAAACAGGAGCCCTATTCCATAACGGTACACAAAGAGAGAGAGAGTAGGCAATCGTATTTTAATACTTCGTTTCCTGTCAGGGAATTCAGTAAGGCTAACGGCAATATTGCTCTCTACTTTAAGTCAGGAACCCCAAATTGACTTCATGCAAATTTAAATGAAAAATGGACGTGGCTATAATGAAGCATGTTTGGGACTAATTCGTAATTAGTTCACGCTTTATGGTCGAAATGGGAATAATTCAGGGGTGAATTGGGAAAGGACGATGTGGGAAGACACCGTTCCAATGACATTATGATATCCCCCACCCCCCACACACACACAATAAACAATTAGATAAATCTTACCGACAGAGATTATACTTGTACCCTTCATAGGTTATATTACCAGTAGAGGGAGTTGTTAGTCCATTTGGTTGATCAAAACACTCTTGCAATTCATTGCTGTCAGGATTTTTTTGAAATACATCGCATTCTGTATCAAATTTGTAACCGTCTGAAATAAAGCACCTCAATTTAGATATCCGTCACACTTTTCAGACCGAAAACTCGTTTGGTTCGAAAAAAGCTGTAGTGGAAATAAATCTGTAAACAAGACTTGTTTATCGCTGGGCTTGGTGTCGTTTGAGAAGGTGGAAATTCGTATGATATTCATATACAGACTATTCGTACTCTTCTAGACACCTAATATCACTTTTCATTATGAAATACTTCCTTATTATTGATATACTTCCCAATGTGAGAAATTCATTAGTTGCTACCTATGTTTTGTCAAAATGTTGTTTTGAATTTCGGGTTTCGTTTTTGGATTCGGATCGTTTATACTTGGTTTGTTTATTCATTGAGTATCTTGTATTCATAGAGTTAGGAATTAAACATTGAAGACGACGGTGAAACTGTACTGATATCGCTTTTTGGGTTCCTTGCATCTTCTTCACATTGATAAGAACTCAGTCTGATACTGTAAGATCATTAGTTTTAAATTCATGAGATTCGATTTAATTGTACCCTAACAAAAACAGCAAATCAAAGCTCTTGAATACACTTGCAGTCCTATTGTTCACAGTGTTTCTGTTGGGGACTCTGATTTGCTGTATTTGCTAGCATACAATCCAAACAAATCGCTGCAATTGCAAACTATCATGATGCATCCATTTCGTCATTTTAATCAAATTGACAGAAACTAAAATACAATACCAATAATCAGAGAGTCGACATATTGCGACCTACTACTAGCAAATTTATTGTCTCCATAGTAATCTAACAAGATTCTTAACAAAGGTAAGTTCGAAATATAACGTTTTTAAAACCAATCAAAGTGTGTCATGTATAGAACCCGGATGTTCGGATGTGTTAAAGATTCATTGTACCTGTCGAAACATCAGAAATATCATTCAGATCATGGCAAGAGTTAACATATTATATGGACTCACTCCACTAAAACATTTTATAGAAATGATAGTATTAGTCCAGGCTTTTGTTGGAAATCTTCTTGCTCTCGCCTTTTTTGGGGTTTTGCATGCCTATTTCGGGTAATTTTTGGTCTAGATTTGGAATATGATGTCTGAAATTGCATTATCTTTAAGATTTGGTGAGATGATGAGAGACTTAAAGGCGGAAGGATAATTCTAAAAATAGTCGATTTGTGCCAAACTCTAGCGGGTGAGTAAAACCGGTAGTAGTCTACTTTCAATTTTAGTAGCTCAAAATTTTCATGGTCATCATATATTGATTTTTTTAGGAGACATTAAGGATTGGTCAGGCTTTCATCCAACATATTGGAAAGCTTTCAACGAGATTTCTGGAAAAAGTTGTAGAAGGTTTAATTTCGTGTTTTAACATGAGAAGAGATGGCAAATGAATTAGTGGAGTGAGTCCTTTCTCATATGATATGTCTGCTACTAGCATTGACAGAAAAAACTACAAAGATGACTTTTACTTACCGGCCTCTCTTTCACAGAAATATTCAATGCCGGATTGTATACCAGAATTAGACGTGACCAGGCCTTGATATTCAGGATCATGACAGTTTATGTCAAATGTATTATGACATTCTGCCCATTTTATATACTCGGCTTTGTAATTTCTGTAAAAATGAACGGGTATAGTTATCTGAATATTTGCCATACCACCTCAATTTAAAATATACCATTCTATTGTTAATTATTCTTCGGGACAAAAACTATAATTGTTAACTGTTCAAATTTCAATGCTATTCCATACATTTGGACTGTGTAAGATAATGCAACGACATCAAAGGGATGGCGAATCTGTCTCTTTAATATTCCAAAAGGAGAACAGACAGAAGATGTACTTTTGGTATAATTCGTTTAACATGAAGGCACAATTCTTGATGGATTTTGACAAAACTTGGTGTGAGTGTATGTAATCACCCAAAGATGAACCCTAACGAAAATCAGAAAAATTTAAAAATATTATTGTCCCTGTTCTTAGAAACCCGTTCATGTTTTAGCCTGTAAACACTCCAGAAGGCCCAATTCTTGACAGATTTTGATAACTTTCACATCACTGGTTGTAGTGTCGTTCTTCGACTATCACTATCTCAAAAATTCTATTTAAATTTTACATGTTGTCTCAAAAGACAAACCTTAAAGGAATACTACCTCTTAGAATGGACATACAATTTAAAGTCTTAAACTTGGTCAATAAGAGTATATATTCATCAGTTGGACCATACGGCCCGCATGAAAGTTACGCTAGGGCTTTGCAACATATCACAGTAATGAATGACAGACACTTTTATACAGGAACTATCTTAATTTTGTCAGATAATCACGTGATTCTGATAATTCAAATATTAGAGACTGGTCGTTCAGGACTACAAGTGTTACAAAATCAATGAAAACAAAACATGCTATTATGTATTTAAACTGATAATGAATTCTATAATCAATAGTCATAATATAGCATTTAATTCATATGTAATCATTTAAACAACCGAAAACGATTGATTACATGATAGAATAGTGTACTGTTATTGTAAACCAGAGTCGCGAAGTGGCATCATGTGTATTACTCACTTGCAATAATTGCTGATTTCAGGATCCATAAAAAATGCAAGTGGATTTTCTTGAGGTGGAGAAACCCGGAAAGGCATTTTTACAGCGAGTTTGTTCATTCTGAGACTCTTCACTTAGACCACACTTTAATAAACTCCAATTTATATCAGCACTTACAGTCGAAACAAGCACCAATAAAACACTAACTGCATATAAATAAAACACCGTGCATTAGTACATGAATACATGCATTATGAATGATGTTATAGGTACTGTATAGTACCGGATGATTCTATTGTAAATAATCAAAGCCATGTAGCGTGGAATGAGGGAAATTTGGCTGGGGCAATCGCATTAGCCATCTTCGATTTCCAAATGTCGAGGGATCTTTAACGTACACAGTTTGTAGCACACGAGACCTCGGTTTATCCGAACAAGTATATAGACGCTCTCTCCGTGTCACCTACATCACTGGGAAACCGAAGGTTGTTTCTCGAACTGTGTCAGAATTGAAGCCCGAAACTTATATACTACATTTTAGATATAAGTTATAAGTTATAGTATTGAACAGCCGTCGATCTGTCCCACACTATGATATTTATTGGCAAGATTTCGTTCAGATCATAGAACTGTAATAGATGGAACGCTAACTGGTCACAAAAAAAGTTCTATAGTCGGATTAAGCATCCCAAAACAATGTGTTAAGCTATATGGCCGACATCTGCAAACACAGTATGCAAATATTAAGCTGCAGAGCAAAGCTAGAATATATTTATATAAATATAAATATTATAACTTACCTAACATGGCCGTAGATATTTTACAATTAGCCATTTCTTTTTTTATAATGTGCTTCACCAATCCTTATATACCGCCTAACGATTGCTCATTTTGTTTTAAGTACTTTCTCCCCCACCATAAATTTTGCAATAGATTACAACATTCGGCAATCATCGGAAATTTTTCGTAACGCTCAATCTGTCTCGGCAATGAACGGTTATTTGTCGAGTCTTGGGCGACACTCTTTACTTCCGGTATTTAGCAGTAATTTGTCAAGTGATAGTAATATTACGACGTAAATATAGTCCTTTAATTTAGATACTATGGGAGATATACCTGACACTTACTTAGTATTTAATACTATGTTGTGACTATTGCTTATCCAATTATACGTTTTATTATCAGTTTAAATACATATCTTACAGATGTTTTAATTTTATTAACTTGCTTGCTTAACTTTTAATTCTGAACAATAATCGAAAAACTCGTCGAAAATTCTACCGACAGTGCATTTGTCACGCTTAAACAAGGAGTGTCATTGCGTTTCAACGTGTGGCAATGCGGTGTATACAGTGCGTTACGTTTGCACATATGATCACAAAAGCTGCGTTCTGTGCTAAGCACTGAAAAGGCACACCATTCCACGACTTAAAGCATGTTACTATGGGGACAAAAATCGTCAGGTTGGCTTGCAGAAAACAATTGAGCATCATGAGACTTGTTTTAAACTGTTTTACACCTTTGTATCTTAAAGTGATACTACGTCTTAGAATGAACATAAAATATAATTCTGAAGAATGGTCAATGTGAGTATATAATCATCAGTGAACTTATCTGGTGTCATAAAGTTACAACAGAATTCATGTAAAATCTAGAAAATTGGAAAATTCATAAAACTAATCATAATATTCAGTGTTTTTCAATAGTCAATTGCATTTTTATTAAGTATTTTAGATTTGTCGGATTATATAAGGATCCTGTTATGTTATTTATGACACCAGGTATATCTACTGATGAATATAGGCTCTTATTGACCAAGTTTGAATTTTTTTAATTAAGACGTAGTATCCCTTTAAAACAAAAGAAGTACACAATCTCACCTGGAAGGTTGGTTGCTCATAAATATTGACGTCGTTTAATGCTTATAGGATTCCCCTTTTGGTAGCCTAGATCGTACACTGTAAACTTGTACAGGGTCTCTTTAAGACAAGATATGACAGCTTTTATTTATTATACTCTAGTGTATTTCAACAAACATTAAATATTTCAAGGGGTCTGTCTAACTGCTTTTCGATTTCTATTGAATAATTTATTTATAGTCGATTTGAGATTCTTATGTTCTTCCGGGTACGATAAGGGAACTAGGGAACATTCAAACAGACTAAGCCACGACTTTCCCTTAGTTATAAAGGGATTATAAAAAGAGGTTTTCTAGCCTTTTTATGTGTATCGAGGAACTTTGACTTCTATTTGGGACACACTAATTCATCATCCGATGCCTGTGGTTCCTGCAATTCCAGAAAGAGTTAACCGAAAATGACGATTGAATGACGACCAACTTAGATCATTAGACACCAAGCCCTAACCACCTTAATCATAGGATGCCATAAACTTACTACCCTAGATCATTCGACACCATACCCTTACCACCCTAGATCATTAGACACCATACCCTTACCATCCTAGATCATTAGACACCATACCCTTACCATCCTAGATCATTAGACACCATGCACTTACCACTCTAGATCATTAGATACCATACCCTTACCACCCTAAATCATTAGATACCATACCCTTACCACCTTAGATCATTAGACACCATACCCTTACCACCCTGGATCATTAGACACCATACCCTTACCACCCTATATCATTAGACACCATACCCTTACCACTCTATATCATTAGACACTATACCCTTACCATCCTAAATCATTAGATACCATACCCTTACCACCCTAAATCATTCGATACCATACCCTTACCATCCTAAATCATTAGATACCATACCCTTACCACCCTAAATCATTCGATACCATACCCTTACCATCCTAGATCATTAAACACCATACCCTTACCACCCTAGATCATAAGACACCATGCCCTTACCACTCTAGATCATTAGACACCATACACTTACCACCCTAGATCATTAGACACCATACCCTTACCACTCGAGATCATTAGACACCATACCCTTACCATCCTAGATCATTAGACACTATACCCTTACCACCCTAGATCATTAGACACCATACCCTTACCACCCTAGATCATTAGACACCATACCCTTACCATCCTAGATCATTAGACACCATGCCCTCACCACTCTAGATCATTAGATACCATACCCTTACCACCCTAAATCATTAGATACCATACCCTTACCACCTTAGATCATTAGACACCAAACCCTTACCACCCTGGATCATTAGACACCATACCCTTACCACCCTATATCATTAGACACCATACCCTTACCACTCTATATCATTAGACACTATACCCTTACCATCCTAAATCATTAGATACCATACCTCGATACCATCCCCTCTCCACCCTGGATCATTAGATACCATACCCTTACCACCCTAGATCATTAGACACTATACCCTTACCACCCTAGATCATTAGACACTATACCCTTACCACCCTAGATCATGTACGCTCTTGGCTACAAAAATGAAAATCCACGGTGAAAGAAGCATTGTCCAGATTAACACAAACATTGTGTAACCCCAGCTTGCCAGTGTATCCCCACCGGAACCTGATTTCTTTGTCTTCCCAGTATTTGCAATTTAATGCAAAATTTGTATGAAAGAATATTCAGATGACTTTACCCGTTCATTTTTACAGAAATTACAAAGCCGAGTATATAAAATGGGCACAATGTCATAATGCATTTCCAACCTGAACACCAAGAATTGACCATATCTCATTCTAGTCTGCAGTTTTCCATTGATTGTGAAAGAGACGCCGGTAAGTGAAAATCCATCGTATAACGAATACGGGGTTTGACATTTGATATTCGTGGGCGTGGAAATGAGATTGGTGCTATTTAAACCTGACTAATCAGAACGGTAGAACGGATATGAGGAAATGTAAACAAAACAAAACTTTGAGGATATAAGATATCTATATATTCCAAAGTATAGTTTGATTTTCTCTCGAAAATCTTACTCAATTCTGTACCATCCATATTAATGGCACGCTGCTTTCGTTTTGTTCACGTTCGCAAACAGAGCGTCATAATGAGTGATTTGTTTTGAACAGCTGAAATTTTACTACCGAGACAGTATGGGTAATTTCGATTGGACAATATTTATCACATGTATTAACATGGTCTTGGGGAAGTATGACGAATGAGGGCGTGGTTTTGACACGATGGATCATAGTAGTTAAATTTGTTTCTATCGGTTTAATTTGTAGGAAAAATGCCTTGATATCCGACATTTTTACTTGTATCATGGAAGTTTGTAAATGCAGCGATTTAATATGATTGTACGCCAGAGAATACAGTTAATCAGCGCCTACGACTGAAGGTTTGTAAAAATTATGACTAAAGTGTAATCGACGGATATGATTTGCTGAATTTGCAACGTACAATCCGATCCAATCGTTGCATTTACAATCTAAGGTTTGTTCTTAATATAACTAAACATTGTGCAGATGCAAGGAACCAAATAAGCATAAATAGTTCAGTTTAACTGACCCCTTCATGGTTTATTTTCTTACTCTACGAATACATTACTCTCATTCACACCATACAAATTCCCCATGTAGGTCTTACGAGTCTTATAATCTTTGTAAGACACAAAGAAGCAGGAAGGTAAACATTAAGAACACAAGTAATATGGATATACTACTTCTAGTTTTATTACATACTAAGTTTCGTAACACATACAGGTAACATTAAGAACACAAATTATATAGATATATTACTTCTAGGTTTATTACATACTACTTTTCGAAACACATACAGGTAACGTCATCAAGTAAAATGTGTTGTTTGGTTGTTAATCATTTTACTTGATAACGTTACCTGTATGTGTTTTGAAACGTAGTATGTCTATTCTGTTCTAACTTTAAAGGGACAGCTGCGCCATTTTAAGGGGTTAATTTTAGTCTAAATTTAGTTAGAATATATGTAAATAGTATTCAAAAAAGTCTTTAAAAGTGCTAGAAATGTACGAAAATCGCTTAATTCCTTTAAAAATACTTCAAACTACGAATTTTACTCACTATGTCTACATATTATGTCTTTTCTAGATATCACAGAGTATCTTAAATTGACGAGTCGTCATTTTAACATTCAATATCGGATATTTCTGGACACACATTGATTAAAGTCACAAATTTCGACAGTGAGCTTTGAACACTTTTACAGATTTGCTAAGCTGAAAAATTCCCGTTTCTGAGACTAAATGTATGATTGGTCAAAAAATGGCCCACCTGTCTATTTAAGTAAACGCTTCTAATTTCGCTTTCTTTCAATTGAAATGTTACTTCATAACCAAACATTTTGTGTATATACGCTAGTATATAATTTATAATTTTCTATAATTTATTGTTACCGTGCACATTAATTTTTATATTTTGGAAAGGGGGTGTATAGGCCAATCTAATTCATAAATACGTGTGAATAAAATACAATTTAACGTCCTTCTTATGATAGTCTGTTTGTATGTTCCCTAGTTCCCTTATCTTACCCGGATGAATATAAGAATCTCAAATCAACTATAAATAAATTATTCAATAGAAATTGAAAAGCAGACAGAAAGAACCCTTGAAATATTTTACATTGGTTGCAATATACTAGAATATAATAAATAAAAGCTGTCATATCTTGTCTTAAAGAGACGGTTAAGTTTCACAATATAAGATACTATGGTGACGACACCCCATTGATCTAGCGGGAATTTATATCTCATTAAATCCCTTTCATTTAAACTCCTAGAGATATTAAATATAAAACCCCAGAGATTTCAGATACACCACACTGGACAAAATCCCTCGTCTAATCATAGCTTTAATTTGTTCCTATTTCCTTTCAAGTATTTACAATATTTTCTAAAATGTATAGTAAGGAAATGGGACTTAAAATCAGAGTCACGCGGGCAATCGTGAGTCATGTGGTATACAAAGAGTACAGTTTAAAATTATTATAATATCTTCATCTTATTGTAATGGCTAACTGTAATATATCTTATGCTATGTTAGGTAGGTAGGCATTAATATTTAATTTTAAGCAGGCTTCGGTCATATTCTCATCTTTTTGCAAATGTTGTTTGCAGATGTCGGCCACTGGATAGTTTCTCCAACTCCAAATAACCTAACTACATGTACATACTATAATGTGACAATATTTATACTTATACCTTATGTCTAAAATGCAGAACTCAAGGCTCAGGCTTCATACCCAACATATGTTAAGACACTACCGTCAGATTTTGCAATAAAGTGTGTCTCTTTCAATGGTGCAGGTCGGAGGTGCTGATCAGTGATATGGAAAAGCGTGATGGATATATTACCTGTACTGAGGCCCAATGTGCTACAGGCTGTGCACGTGTAAGATGCATTTGGTCGTTAGAGATTATGGCGTTGATTATCTTCTATAGCCCTATTATAAGGTGCAGAAAAGTAGATCGGAAAACTCCGATCATTTCATTTTTTAACGCACGACGTGAAGATATAACATTCTATGTTATTTGTTTTAAGTTTGTATGTTAGTGGTGTTAGTTTCGACTGTTAATGCTGATATAGATTCAGATTACCTAGATTGTATGTTTAGTCAAGAGACTAAAAATGAACAAACTCGCTGTGCAGACGCCTTTCCGGGTCCTTCACCTCAATCCCGCCCATCTTCATTTATTTACGATTCTGAAATCATTAATAATTGCAGGTGGGTCACACATCTTTTGTATATTTTTATATTTGTGGGGGAGGGTGTACTTTGAGTGGAGGTTAATTTGATAGTACAAATTGCCTTAAAGACAATACAATCGAGCAACGATTATGTTGTGTAGTTGACAAATGCACTAGACAGGTCTGGGTCCGACGTTTTACAAGTACACTTTTAGGTTTAGATGTTACTTGACCCTGCGGCGTTTTGTTTTTTCATACTCTCTTTTCTTGCAGAAAGTTTAAAGACGAGTATATAAAATGGGCAATCTGTTATAATTCAGTTGAAATTAACTGTTACAAACCTGAACTCGAAGACCTGGCCATATCTAATTCTGGTACACAATCCGCCATTGAATATTTCTGTGAAAGAGACGCCGGTAAGTAAAATACAGCGATTTGATTGGATTGTACGTCAGCCAATCAGAGTTGTTAACATTATGGCATTGTGTTCTCAGGCCTCTGATTGGTTGTATTCGCTAGCACACAATCCAATCAAATCGCTTCATTTCCAAACTACCATGACACAAGAATGTTATTATTGAAGTTAAAGTATAAGCACGAAACTCGTAATAGCTTGATGCTGATAGTCACGTAATCATACATTTTGATATATCGAGAGGGGAAGAAAAATTGGTAACACTTTTCATTTCAAGATTTTTCAAAACGGATCAAAGGTTAAGATCATAACATTTAGACTGAACCATTTTGAAATAACAGCCTTTTGAAATTACCTGTCAAAAATATAATACCAAAGTAAATATTGTAATTTCCTCTCTTTCATTGAACCAATGACCAATGAGAACGACATTTTCAGCAAAAATACTTTACGAGAAATCCAAAATTGAAAAGTGTTATCATTTTTTTCTTGCAACCCAATATGACAGACATTTTAGTCTGGATGCACAAGTCTTGTTTTAATAGTTCTGCCACCATTTAGCATCTCAACAAGGAATGTTGTCTAATATGTCCGTCTAATACCTTGACATTAGACAAATTCAGCGACTACAGCCAATCAGAGCCCTCGATACAAGTTCTGCAATCAATTTGACTGCGTGGGTATTCGAGGGATCTATTTGCTGTATTTGCAAGCGTACAATCCAATCGAATCGCTGCGTTTACGAACTTCTGTGATACAAGACAAATGCCCGATGTTGTGAAGGTAAAAAGGAGTCCCTAATAGGCAAAAACAAGACAGTTCCACTATACCCTACCTGTTTAATTTCTTACTCTATGAATGCAAACTACAGACCTCGTTCACACCATACGAGTTGTTGCAACCTTCCCAAAGAAAACACAACAGCATAACGACTTTTGTACCTAATTTCCAATCCTGCAATTTTCGAACTAAGCGTGAAGATTTCATCCATTGAATTGAATTTCTTTATTTCAGAAGGTCACACGTTTGATAGAGGATGCGAAGGATTTCGCAACAACTCTGAATTAGAAGAGTGTACTAAACTAGATGAGCTAACAACTCCATCTACTGGTGATATAACCTATGAAGGGTACAAGTATAATCTCTGTCGGTAAGTATTCTATAGGGGAGGGGGAGTAAAATCTGTGCTGGAATGATCTTCAATAATAAATATTCTTAATGTCTTTGGAACATTTAATCACATCGAAATTACCATCTTCACAATATCAAACTATTACCAACTTCATCGGATACCTTGACGGCAATAGGAAACATCCCGATAAGCTAGTTAGCAGTGACACAATAGTTGTAAAAACTATTACACTCAAATGCAATAGTATTCCACTGATACTGATGATGTATTTGCTTTGAAGCCAGAGAAATAAACTGTCTAAATTACTTGCTCGAAACATTTTATAATTGTTTTAAAGCATCCACATATGTCACAATCTTATTTTTTCTATTACTCCTTGACCGATTGCATTACCCCCTTCCCCTATAAATCCTTACTATTTCGTGATTGTTCACTAAGCTTCATAGTTCTTTCTTAACTACATTTGTAGGCCTATTTGTTTTCCTTGTTTTGTTCTAGTACTCTTCAAGTTAACTTAAATTGTTTAAGAAATGACGAAATACTCAAAACGAAATGCCCTGATACACAAACTACGTATGCTAAAGTGAACGAGAAACAGATTCCACCTGCTTGTGATGCTGGTAACGGTGATAATGGTGATAATGGTGATAACGGTGATAATGGTGGTAACAATGGTAAAGGTATTTACAACACAGGAATATGGAGTGTGATTGTAATTACGTTCCTGATCAGTTTATTTAACAATTAAAATAATGCAAATATTTATACAATTGATGTATTGAGCACTAAAGAAAAACTTTATTATTGAAATTACAATAACAACAGTGCTTGATTTATAATGTTGTTAATTTAATAAATCTTTAAACGTATGTATTTGCTGTTCTCATGTCTGATACTAAAATGTTTGAACCTATCGTGATAATAAAATGTCTATATCACTATACACCATGTCCTTATCGCCCATATCTTTATATACCATATCATTACTACCCTAGATCTTTAAGCCTGCCGCAGAGGAACTAACTGAGCTTCCTGCCCCAAGAGGTTGGGGGCTGAGTTGTTTCACCCATGTGCTCTGAATTTTGTAATGTAATGAGAAGGTTGCTCAACTGACAGCCTCGCGAGACAGGCAGCTCAGCTAGTTCCTCTTGTCTGCGGTAGACCCCAAACCTTTACCACTCTAGATCATAAAATACTTTGAATGTCATCTCACAAGAGTGTTTTATCTGGTTTATGTCGGGACTGAGTAAGGGCCAAGGTATTACTCTTATTTATGCTATTGGACGAATATAGCAGTGCGAAGATGGGCACTGGAAGGTGTAGTTACAACGTTGGGGTAAAACATGGGGGCGGAGAACCTGGTTGATATAACGAGCAGCTCTGACTCCATGGTCTTTACCTGTATAAAAATTCTGGCAGACTATAGGTTCAATTTTCTGATGCCGGTTGCATCCTGTACCATAATAAATGGTACTCACCATGGATCTTCTTCAAACACACATTGTTCTGTAAAATGTCTTCGCTCCACTTACACTGTCATCTGCGATGGAAATCCGGTACCGACCCTCATCTGAGACAACGTGGGTTTTCCACTGCTGATGCTACCCATTTTGTAGCTGATTGGCCTACATAATACCTTGCGGACGTTAATGAGGAATGGGCTCTGTACCCCTTACACAGACAGGTTCTGGAAGGAGGTCGGACGAGTTGTCCGTGCAACTGTAGTGAATCTGCGTCGATGGCCATTACTGCTGATTTGAATCCGAATTATTCAAATGGTTCTTATACTACAGAAGCATTGGCAATGACTTGTGTACGTTGTCCGGCATTTAATTGCTCGATGGCTTGTTCGCGTTGTTGGGAGGTTAGAAGTGCCGTGATTGGTGTCGTCATAAAGCAACTGAATTCTCAGTAGGTGTCAGGTGTTTTTTTTTAAACAGAACTCGATTTCGATTTTCCTGTGCATCAGTGGCAACTTGCTCTCACGGGCATCTCAAGGTTCACAACGGTTGCACCGAACGCAACCGGTATTATCAGTTGGATGTCATAAAACATATTTATGATGAAAATATCAATTATGATCATGCACTATTATGCTCCAATAATCCAAAAAATGTTCAGTATACAAAGGTTTTAAGAATTGGCCTCGAAATTGTTTATTCAGATCTCACCGTTATATTTTTTTTTTCACAAATCTTAGGTCATATAACTGATAAAAATATGATAATGTAGCAATTTAATTCCATGTATTGCTTTCAAATCATCAAATAAAACAAAGCGGTGATTTCCCGGGAATTTGGAAATTCGTCCTGGTGACTTTATGAACACTGTGTTGTTTAAGAAGATAACGTATCAATGATGATAATAAAGAAAAGTTTTTTGACTAAATAAAAGATATCATATCAACACTTTGAACGTGTTGAGTCAGATCTTAAAATCAAAGTTGGCAATCGTGAGTCACACAGTATACAAGGAGTGGAGGAGCAACGTACAGTTTAAATTATTATAACATCTTCATCTTATTGTAATGCCTAACTGTAATATATCTTATGCTATGTTAGGTAGGTTATAGCATAATTATTCTCTCAACGGTACGCAGACTCTGTTATAGCATTTATTCTCTGTTTCGCAACTGTACTATGTTCATACTTTATTTGCAGATATCGACCAATTAGCTTAACGCACTATTTTTCGATAGTTGCCACTTACATTTTTCTAATATTTCCCAGAGAGTGGGTTAGTAGGATGGTACTATCATAAAATGAACATGGCATGAAGAATAATTCTATTAATTTGTTTCCAGTTTGTATTTTAGTGGTGTTGGTATCGACAGTGGATGCTGATATACTACCGTATGTGACACAGTGTGAACATTCTCAAGAGTATGTGAATAATCGAAGTCAATGTGATGACGCCTTTGAAGGTCCTACACCTGTCGGCGTCGTTGATTTTATTGTCGATTCTAACATCTATAACTATTGCAGGTTAGTTATACACCTGATGCCAACTGATTTTGTACAAAATGTCGACAAAGAATATAATTTAGCAACGACTCTGTTGCACATTCTAATACGCACATACGCACAACCATTCTATTTATTTACACAGGTAGTCTAAGTGGTAATTAATATACAGGTAGTTTAAGTGGTAATAAATATACAGGTATTACCCTTAATTACCCTCGCCTCAATTCTAAATCTGACACGGATAGCTTTTACTTTAAAGAGTAAGTATTTTTAATATATATCCACACGACACATATGAGCCAGTATTTTTTTTCCGTTTTGCAGAAACAAAGCCGACGTTTTAAAATGGGCTGAATGTGCTAAGTGGAGATTAATATACAGGTAGTCTAAGTGGTATATAATATACAGGTAGTCTAAGTGGAGATTAATATACAGGTAGTTTGAGTGGTATATAATATACAGGTAGTTTAAGTGGAGATTAATATACAGGTAGTTTGAGTGGTATATAATATACAGGTAGTTTAAGTGGTATATAATATACAGGTAGTCTAAGTGGTATATAATATACAGGTAGTCTAAGTGGTAGTAAATATACAGGTAGTCTAAGTGGTGATTAATATACAGGTAGTTTGAGTGGTATATAATATACAGGTAGTCTAAGTGGTATATAATCTACAGGTAGTCTAAGTGGAGATTAATATACAGGTAGTTTGAGTAATTAATATACAGGTAGTCTAAGTGGTAATAAATATACAGGTAAGTCTAAGTGGTAATTAATATACAGGTAGTTTGAGTAATTAATATACTGGTAGTCTAAGTGGTATATAATATACAGGTAGTTTAAGTGGTATATAATATACAGGTAGTTTATGTGGTAATTAATATACAGGTAGTCTAAGTGGTAATTAATATACAATTAGTTTGAGTAATTAATATACAGGTAGTTTGAGTGGTATATAATATACAGGTAGTCTAAGTGGTAATAAATATACAGGTAGTTTAAGTGGAGATTAATATACAGGTAGTCTAAGTGGTAGTAAATATACAGGTAGTCTAAGTGGTGATTAATATACAGGTAGTTTGAGTGGTATATAATATACAGGTAGTTTAAGCGGTAATAAATATACAGGTAGTCTAAGCGGTAATAAATATACAGGTAGTTTGAGTAATTAATATACAGGTAGTTTGAGTGGTAATTAATATACAGGTAGTCTAAGTGGTAATTAATATACAGGTAGTCTAAGTGGTGATTAATATACAGGTAGTTTGAGTAATTAATATACAGGTAGTCTAAGTGGTAATTAATATACAGGTAGTCTAAGTGGTGATTAATATACAGGTAGTTTGAGTAATTAATATACAGGTAGTCTAAGTGGTAATTAATATAGAGGTAGTTTGAGTAATTAATATACAGGTAGTCTAAGTTGGAATTAATATAGAGGTAGTTTGAGTAATTAATATACAGGTAGTCTAAGTGGTAATTAATATACAGGTAGTCTAAGTGGTAATTAATATAGAGGTAGTTTGAGTAATTAATATACAGGTAGTCTAAGTGGTAATTAATATAGAGGTAATTTGAGTAATTAATATACAGGTAGTTTGAGTGGTATATAATATACAGGTAGTCTAAGTGGTATATAATCTACAGGTAGTCTAAGTGGAGATTAATATACAGGTAGTTTGAGTAATTAATATACAGGTAGTTTAAGTGGTAATTAATATAGAGGTAGTTTGAGTAATTAATATACAGGTAGTCTAAGTGGTAATTAATATAGAGGTAGTTTAAGCGGTAATAAATATACAGGTATTACCCTTAATTACCCTCGCCTCAATTCTAAATCTGACACGGATAGCTTTTACTTTAAAGAGTAAGTATTTTTAATATATATCCACACGACACATATGAGCCAGTATTTTTTTTCCGTTTTGCAGAAACAAAGCCGACGTTTTAAAATGGGCTGAATGTGCTAATTCAGTTGAAATTAATTGTTACAAACCTGAACACCAAGACCTGGCCAGGTCTAATTCTGGTGTACGATCCGCCATTGAATATTTCTGTGAAAGAGAGGCCAGTAAGTGAAAGTAGTTTTTTTCCTTTAATGCTAGTAGTAAAATATGTTAACTCTTGTTTGTATTTCTGATGTGTAAAAAATATAAAGGCAATACATATTTTAAGTAAATAAAAACACTAACGAAAAGAAAAATAATAAAAAAAAGATAAAACGGCAAAGCAAAAACGTACATAATAGACACTAACGTTTTCGACATGACGATCTTCTGCAGATGAATTTCTTTGAGATTTACTAATGGATAACGAAATTGATATTTTCCATACTTTTATAAAATATTTCGTTTTAACGAAATAGTTAATTTGTTTAAACGAAATAATATCATATATTTCGTTAAAACGAATTAATTATTTTATTAAAACGAAAAAAAATACTTGATAGTATTTCGTTTAAACGAATTAAAAATGTATTTCGTTATTTCGTTTAAACGAATTATTTATTTCGTTTAAACGAAATAGTGATTTCGTTTAAAATATTTTATAAAAGTACGGAAAATTGCGCCTCAGGGGCTCCGTAATATTCTTTATTTCAGAAGGATATATATTTAATGCAAACTGTTTAAATAATGCTGACACAACTGAATTACAAATGTGTTTAAGTCAACAATATGAGCTAACGACTTCCTCTGGTAAAATAACATATGGAGGTTTAAAGTACAATATCTGTCGGTAAGTTTTGTCTTATACAAAACTTTTTTTTGAACAAAATCACCCTGTTTGTATACCAATACTTGTTAAAGGGATAGTAATTTTTTTTAGAAACCTGTGTGCAATCCCTTTAAGACTGACTGTGAAGATTTCTATACTCATACCTCATTTCTAATTAAATCACACAATCAGAGGATGGTACCACATTTCTTATTTTAATTTGGAAAAAAATGTACTTATATCAAATTGCAGAAAGCTTGCGAGTTCTAGTTGTAAATCGATACCCCAAAGACATATGGAGATATAAACTAAATACATGCTTAATAATTCATTTGTAACTTATCATTACAGTTAAAATTAAAAAGTCGATATTTTAGACTGAGACATTTAGCACCCGAAATGCCCAAAATCCTAGTCATCGAAGTTAAATACTGCGGAATATTTACTGTCATTTATAATTTCAGTCTCTTTAGACTAATTTAGTGACATTGACCTAATTTAACATGTCATTGTTACCATGCCTTGGATCATGGCGGTGAGACGAATCGAACGTACTTAGTCTGACAATTTTGTTAATAGGACCGTATCTCTGAGAATTGTTTTGGTCCCGAAATTACCCTATCATTTTTGGGGGTCGATTGGCCCGTTTTATTTGGTCGTCCGAGAATCCCTTGAAGGTCCCCTTGTCTCGCCCATAATCTGGAGATTTCGATTAAATCGCCCGAAAACTGTTAACCGTCGCCTTCATGCGGCTGCCTGTTGCTAAATTAAAAATAAAAGTAGATAATAAAGGTTTTCTTCTAATTTCTATTGAACTGACAGGGGTATAATGGTGCGGGCACACGAGGTGACAATTATCAAACTTGTTTGATATTATAAATCATATTGGAAACGCGAGATTTTCTCAAGTGTGGAAAAAAATCGCCGACCATGACCGTTCGTGTTCCCGCACCTTTAGTTATCTGTAAAACGCAACGCATTTAATTTCAATATTTTGCTTTTTATGTGTTTTACTTATGATTCCAGCCGTCAACAGATCATTATAGATTGTTATCGAAATGACCACACATTTAACAGTGTCTGCCCTGGTACACCTGTTATGTATGCTACAGTTTTGAAAAAACTATTACCTCCTGCTTGTGATGCTGGTAACAATGGTAACGGTATTTACAACACAGGAATATGGAGTGTGATTGTAATTACCTACCTGATCAGTTTATTTAACTATTAAAATATCAACACTCATTGATTTATATTGTTTTAATTTATTCGATCTTTTAGGATGATTTTCCATATATTTTAGTGTCAAATTGAAGAAACTATTTGATAAATTGTTGTTTCTAGTGAATTCTAGTTTCACGTATTCTTAATCATATCATTATGTTCTTATTGCATATGATTAAGAGTTTTAACTAACCATAAACAAACAAAAAAAACTTTATGACTTTTCTCGATCGGTCACTCATTGGAATTCTGCTGGTAATTATCTTCTAATTAGCTAATTAGGAATTAATTACGGACAAGTGATACAAACTGGCAATTAGAACACCTCTATTTGCTATTTATATAAGTATTAGCATTTTGATTTTTTGTTATATTTAATAATGTTTAATTTTAAACTCTTTTTGTCCAAGTGTTCTTATAAAATTCCATACAAGCAAGACAATTCCGTTAATCAAAATCTCATCCAAAGTATGGCAAAATCAAGAGTAAAAATATTATAGTACCATCACGTATTTCGAAAAGAGTAAGCATGGTCTGCTTCGCGCGCGACACCCGCCTCTATCTAGGTCAACATCATGAGATACAATCAGATCAATTTGCCTGAACAATCAAATCAGCCAAGATGCAAGAGACAGATTTGTAAGATTTGTCCAGGAATTCGCTATAACGACCATAAAATTTCCTTACTGAAGTCTATGTTTTATACTAGGTTTGCTTTGTTAACAGATTATTCTGAATGGTACAAAAGCTGTGTCCTTTTTTACAAAGTCTCAAAATGCACAATGTTAAGACAAATAGTAATGCGATCCGATGATGGTTTAAGAACATTATAAATAGTGAAGTTTTAATGTTCGATCCGATCAGTCCACATCTAAATTTTTCCTCATAACGATTGTCTATTCAAAAAAACATGTAATGATATTGGTACTTTGAATTTAGCTCCACTATGTCTTTACTAAGTACTAAGTATTTTGACTGATGTGACTGTCGAGGGAAGCAGTGGCGGCGCTAGCCTCCCGAGACTGAGGATGCAAATAGGGGGCATACTGGCTTAATTCAACTTTCAAAGTCAAAATTCACAATGCGCCAAATCCAAATTACACTTTCGTCCCCTTTTTTATTAGCTTTTATTATTAATATAATCATTTCAGTCAGGGTCTAACGACAGGCCTCTTAGACGTTCGTTAAATTAACCTTTTGACCTAACTCGATGAAGTCTACCTTAACCAATCAAGTGTTGCTGATATGTTCCTGATACTAGGAATAGAAGACCTAATTAAATTTTCCTAATGAAAATGGGTATGAAATGAAAGCCTGCAAGTTTGAAAAATTTTATTATCTAGATATTTGAAATTTAAAAGCAAGGGAAAAAAATATAAAAATATATATGTTTTGTGTCAACTATTCGGTTAAAGTTAATAGGTAGAATTAATCACAATGGGTAAATAAAAAAATAAACAATATTCAACTTAAATTGAAGAGAATGTCTATGAAGATTCAAGGGGAGAAAAAGAAAATTTTTATATTGACGTAGTGGGAAGGGGGGTGATTTTGGATAAGAAAGAAAATTGTTAAAGTGATACTACGTCTTAGAATACACTCCCCTGTGGCTAATATTTGTGTTTAATAGTGACCATTGGTTAAATAAGTATGCATCCCACACTTTATCAAGTTTGAAAAATCGACAATAAAACTATAATCAGAATTTTAAAAAAAAAGTCAGCAAGCCATGAATCCGTTCAGTTTGAGAAAAAAAGAGTCTGGGTAATCAACGCTAAAACATGAAACAATCATCTTCCGGTGCATACAAACAAACTTTGCCAATGATTAATATTCGTTGAAAATTGTGTCAGTGGTGGATTATTCATTCTAAATTATATGAATTGCGTTTTCGCGGAGTCGCTTAATCTCCTGCGAGGCATCATTATTCCGTCTTCAAAATATGACAATGTCGAGGTCAATTCAAGAGTAGAGGTCAAGGACGCAGGAAACCTCCCCTTGAAAATTACACCGGATTTCCTAGACTCACGATTTGAAAATCGCTTAATGGATGTATTAAGCGTTTTATAATTAATTACTTGATTTTGTGGATATATCGGATTATAGAGGGATTTTGATGTATAGTTAGGACACCAGGTAAGTCCACTGATGAATATATACTGTTATTGGCCAAATTTGAGCAAAATTAAAATGTTATGTTCATCCTAAGACGTAGTATCCCTTTAATAACTATTTTATTATACTTAACAATGATATATATGACTGTTTTTTACACTTCAGAGTTTTAAATGATAATATAGGTGTATCATATCGAATTACATATCTTGATAATATATATATATACTATATACAATAAAATATAACCTTGAGATATCATTATCAAATATTACACTAGTACGACAGGATGACAATTTTAACTAATTACTTCACTCACTTAGTCCAGCGGCACAGACCTCATGTATGAAGGTATTGCGCATTTTGTGATACAAGTACCAAATTTGTTGTTTGAATCACAAAATGCACAATGGGTTTAGTATTTCGCTGGACTAACTATGGATAAATACTGGTATAAAACTTTCAGAAAAGGTAATGAGATTTACCCTTTTATTATTAGTCGTTATTTATTTAAGACTACACCAGATGATACTTTTTCATCATATTTGTTTGTTTGGCAATATTTTTCATTCCGAGTATTTTACCAAAAAGTAAGAGACTAAGGGTACAAATAGGGGAAGGATTGACTGTTGAGGTGGAATGCACCATAGAAAGATTTCTTCAATTGAGTGTCTCCCAAGAAATATTTTGAAAAATAGTCCTGCAAAAGATGACGTACATTCTGATACATATTATGGGGCAGAAACGTACACAAATCATATTAATATTTTCTTTTAGAAATCAGGTCAGGGTACAAGGCGTTGGTATTTCTATATTTTTTTTAATCAAAAAACTTGTATTGGACCTTCGACGTTTTGATAGCTCATAGTATGCGACTGCATTTTATAGTTTTTAGACTTTGATTCGATTTTCAGCCTATCGGGTTAGAAACTAAACTGTCTTGAACATCACAATTGAAAATAGAAAAACATTAAGAATATCTTCATAATAACACATTCATTTATTACATTTTCCTCATATTTGTTACGACTATTCTTCAGTAGAAAATTTGCTCAAAAAGAGATAGAGCGCTTAACCTGTCTAACAAGATTACGTTCTTCATACATGGACATTAGTCATTAGTTATCTTAAAGGTGCATTTGCTCATTTTTCTTTGTCAAATCATGCTTACTAATTGATTAATCAGTGTTTCTAATGAATTATACAAATATTCATATGTTAAAATACCGTATGTGGACGTAGAAAGGCTTGGGGAAGTCATTTACTCAAATTGTTTTGAGAAGCTAAATTTAGACTTCATGTTTGTTCACGTGACCAAATGACGTCATTATTACAGACTGTTGAGCAAGCGAGTGGCTGCTTCACTATGAGATTTTAACTGATTCCCCTTCATGAAATTACACCATCGTTCATAGACATCCTTATCTTAACATATTCTTGGATTTTCTTGATCCCATTTCTTTGTTCCCTTTATATTCTGAATCTGAAGCCTTTTTAAATTGTAAACTGTGCATTCTTCGCGCCGCCATATTGTTGTTGTGAGGAAAGAAAGGAATGAGGGGAGTGCACATGCGCGCATATTTAAACGATTTTTAACCAATCACGGATGTGATTAAAAATAATAGCCAATCAAATTAAACATTGGAAATCGAGACTATTGGAAATGTAAACACGGGGATTCTCTCAGTAATTAGCTAATTACGAGTTAATTAGGAACCGCACAGATTAACTCTGGTACTCGGAAGTTGTTAGGATAACCGGTCAATCGATTTATATAAGTGTTTGACACACAACAATGGATTAGAAACAAAAATGAAAGACTCCATCTTTAAGTCTCTGACGCCCAGACGATACCTATTCTATACTATGATGAGTTTTTAATGCTTTTTCTTTTACGAGGCTTAACAACAATTAAGCATATTCATTCTACAAGTCTCAAACGAACTTAGGGTTCATCCTTTCAATTGTCACACTTACGGCAAAAATTCAATTCAATTATACTTCAATGCGTATTAGTTATTTTGGGAGGCTTGGAAAGTTATATATAGTTAGGGGTTTTCCTAACATGATGAACATTGAACTAATTGACTTTAAGAGATGCCTTTCACTCGGGATTTAGTGATTGTCTTCTCCCTAGTCTCTTCCAGCGTCGGAAGATTATTAGATGAGAAGACAGAAAAGGTATTAGGTTGTTTTTTTTTTCTAATTTTTGAACATTGTCCGTAGCCAGACTTGATTGTTCAGAGGGGCAAGTGATTTTTCCGAAGGGGCAATGGTGTATGGCTTATGGTGTTTAGTTGTAATTGTGGAAATGGCCCGTTGTCAATTTTTTCCGGCGTATCTACGGGCCTGTTTTGAACACAACATGAATAATTACTGACAATGAATACAATAATCAAATATAGTTTGAATATAAACTTTACAAAACATTGAATATTGAGAATGTAAAAAGAAGCAGTTAAATTTTCTAAGTTGATAAAGAATTAATATGTAATGCGTTTTTTTTTTGAGATTTCATGGCAATCGTTCATCATATACACTGTATTTTTATTTTGCACACTAAATTTTTTCAGGGCAACTCAAATCTGTATCAGGCAGATAATGGCTTCTCCTGTCAATTATGTAAAAAGGGGGAGTATCTGCAGAAGGCTTGTGAAATAAACCAAGGTCCATCAACATGCAAGTTCTGTCCAAGAAATACATTCATGGACAAGGATAATAATTACACATATTGTATTGATTGCAGACCTTGTCACGGAGGTCAGGAACTCATTACTGAATGTACTAGAGTTAGCAATGATATCTGTCAATGTCCAGTAGGTAAATATTGGGTCCAGGCTCTTGGACATGATGGACAGTGTTACAACCATTCAGTGTGTAAAGATGGAGAAGTTGTTGTAGCTGAAGGCAAGTATCTTTGAATATTTCTGTAGATCCTGTTCTCATTGTCTTATATTCTGTAACTTACAAGTACATATCAGAATTTAACGACATAAAGTATGTTTTATTACAAACAAATAAACCAAGTACTAACGATCCGAACGGCAAAACGAACTCTTCTCCACCTTCACATGTCTGCCATATATCCTTCTCCACCTTCACTTATCTTCCATCTATCCTTCGCCACCTTCACTTGCCTTCAATCTATCCTTGTCAATCTTCACTTATCTTCAATCTGCCCTTCTCCACCTTCACTTGTCTTCCATCTATCCTTCTTTACCTTCAGATATATTCCATATATCCTTCACCACCTTCACTTGTCTTCCATCTTTCCTTCTTTACCTTCAGATATATTCCATATACTGTATCCTTCACCACCTTCACTTGTCTTCCATCTATCCTTCTTTACCTTCAGTAATATTCCATATATCCTTCACCACCTTCACTTGTCTTCTATCTATCCTTCGCCACCTTCAGATATATTCCATATACTGTATCCTTCACCACCTTCACTTGTCTTCCCTCTATTCTTCTTTACCTTCAGATATATTCCATATACTGTATCCTTCACCACCTTCACTTGTCTTCCCTCTATTCTTCTTTACCATCAGATATATTCCATATACTGTATCCTTCACCACCTTCACTTGTCTTCCATCTATTCTTCTTTACCTTCAGATATATTCCATATACTGTATCCTTTTCCACCTTCACTTGTCTTCCATCTATCCTTCTTTACCTTCAGTATATATTCCATATATCCTTCACCACCTTCCACTTGTCTTCTATCTATCCTTCGCCACCTTCAGATATGTTCCATATACTGTATCCTTCACCACCTTCACTTGTCTTCCCTCTTTTCTTCTTTACCTTCAGATATATTCCATATACTGTATCCTTCACCACCTTCACCTGTCTTCTATCCACCCTTCTCCTCCTTCACTTGTCTTCCATCTATCCTTCGCCACCTTCAGATATATTCCATATACTGCATCCTTCACCACCTTCACTTGTCTCCAATCTATCCTTTTCCACCTTCACTTGTCTTCCCTCTATTCTTCTTTACCTTCAGATATATTCCATATACTGTATCCTTCACCACCTTCACTTGTCTTCCATCTTTCCTTCTTTACCTTCAGATATATTCCATATACTGTATCCTTCACCACCTTCACTTGTCTTCCATCTATTCTTCTTTACCTTCAGATATATTCCATATACTGTATCCTTTTCCACCTTCACTTGTCTTCCATCTATCCTTCTTTACCTTCAGATATATTCCATATACTGTATCCTTTTCCACCTTCACTTGTCTTCCATCTATCCTTCTTTACCTTCAGATATATTCCATATATCCTTCACCACCTTCCATCTTTCCTTGTCCACCGTAACTTGTCTTCTATCTATTCTTCTTTACCTTCAGATATATTCCATATAGCCTTCACGACCTTCAATTATCTTCCATCTTTCCTTCTTCACCTTCACTTGTCGTCCATCTATCCTTCGTCACCCTCATTTGTCTTCAATCTTCTCCACCGTCATTTGTCTATTCTTCTTCTTCTTCATCTGTTTCTTTTCTGTTTTTCTTCACTAATTCGTCTTCATCTTCACCGTTTTTCCACTCATCACTCTCCACCTTTGTAAATATATCTTTCTACATCTAATATTCATCTTTCCCCCTACACCTTCATTATTTCATGCATTCTTCTCTATCTTCACCTTCCTTTGTTATGTGAATTTAACGATATCTGTGCTGTAAATGTTTTAGGTACCCCATGGACAGATACTATATGTGGTTATAATACTAAAAGTATTACCAGCACTATTACAGAACCATCAACTGAGGAACCAGACCAGAATCACACTCAAAACATTACCACTCTGCCAACTCGATGTTTGGGTGAGATTCCAGTTCAAGACAACGATACAGGTAAATTATGACTTTATTGGCTATGCTGATTTTTGGAAATCCATACAGTCACAGAAATCATTCTTATCCTCACTAATGAGTACACTTCTTTGACTTAATTCATTTTTGAAATGGAAATCCTCCTAGGTACGCCGTAAAAAATATTTTCTGAATGACAAAATCGGCTTCTTCTCTTCTACAACCGAGAAAACTTGCCTTGCACCTTTTAATAATTTTGAATACAGGATCTCGCCATATACAATATCATAATGTATATTATTTTTTCAGAGCGAGTAATGTATGGAGTGATATGGGTTCCACTGTTAATCGCTGTAGTTTGTTACTTCGGTTTTCTCATTTATTTCGCTTTCGTCAAGAAATGAACCATAATTATTTCGCATTAACGTATTAAAAAGTATTCAAATTGCGCTTAAGGGGCTCCGTAGTCACACTTGCATATATCCCTAGTTGGAGCACCAGGGAGATAATACAAATTTTACAATGATTATGATTATGTAAAAGACTTTTAGACTTTGTGTTTAATAATGATTATAAAATTAAAATTTTATTTTTTCATTTGATTCTTTTGCTGACATCTATGTGAAGTAGATGAAAAGGTGAAAAATAATTAGAAATTGAAATTGTCCAAAGGATCCACGTGATTTCAACAAGGCTGGATACATAAGGCCAATACACACAGCAGACCCGTATCCAGACTTGATTGTTCGGAGTAGGGGAGGTAATATATTCGGAGGGGCATGGGGTGAGTAAGGAATGGTCGTGGATCACGGAAGCAGGGAAGAAGAGCATACTTGATTGAAATAAAATTCACAAGATTTAATCTGTTCCAAATATTTATAGGTTATTATTAATTGAACCGGTGGCAGTCAATAGAACAGCATGACTAATTGCCGGATTATACAGCAACACTTGATACCGGATTCAGTAGCGGATTTTGGAATTGTTGGGTCGTAGGCATACGAACAGTAGAGGGCCTAATTTCTCATTTTAGGGAGGGGGCATGGTGTGATTATAATTTTATGGCAGGAAGTTTGCGATCTTTTTTTACAGGAACAGATCAGTCAGCTCATCAGGATCAGTCGTATACACGATATTAGCATTCAACACCATTAGGCTCAAACAATTTAGTAGATTCTCACACATCACGCTCCCAGTAGGACAATATTCGATGTGCCTGGGGAAATTTATTAACTGTTTGATAATTTTTACTGTTACAAATTTGTCATGGGCCGAAAGGCAGCTGCCTAGTTTGCCTATAGGTTAATCCTATCGAATTCAAGCCTAGTCCAGTAATTCAGAAACCACAGATGTCAGAATATGCAAATAGGACAAAGTTACAGATGCTCATGAAAGATACCTGAAAACCTCTTTTATAACCCTTTAAAGCCTAGAAGATATTAAAATATCAGTTCTATTTTGAAATCTTGGGTTTTTGCTGTCTCAGTATGTGTTCAAAATCTGAAAATCGCATAGAACTTCCATCCTAGAAATACTTACCTTCGCCCTCTTTAACAGCACCGGGTTTAGCCAGGAAGATGGGTTCACATGTCATGTGGGTGTTTTCAATTTGTTTAATCATCAGTTCACCGGTCTGTACTTCCAGTCTTACAATCTAAAAATACACAAAATAGTTCAGGTAAATACAAAGAAGCAGAATCGTTTGGTATCAGACGTGTATTTTAGCAAACCTCCAAAAGTGTTGAGAATATGAACACTAGTTTGATAAAGACTATAGCTATAAATAGAATATTGATTTAGACTATAGATTGCATGCATGGTCAATATTAGTATTATAAAGTTTGCAGTCATCTTTGCTAGTCATGTAACATATGCTTCTTAGTAATGCAATAGCTGTTTTCATTCCATCCTGATGAGCGAATGCAAGACGGCTTCTAGTGATTCGACAAAAAGGATTCCAGATTAAAAACATAAAAGAGTCAAACATGATGTTAATGTGTATCAGCTGCTTGACGACGTCCCTAAGACGCCACGTTAATGTACGCTAATTTCTCAAAATGGATAATACAATCAATTATGACAGTTGTATTATTCAAACGCGGATAATTTTGTATGGATTTCACATGGATTTGAAGGCTTAAATTTAATCAATAATAGTGTTCAGGGCTCACCGTCGAAATTTGAGCCTGTTTGTCCAGAATTATCCGCGTTTGAAAGTTAAATCGTCTTTTCTTGAGGCTTTGTCATATATAGAAATAGCGAGTAGAATTCATGTCGGAGATATTTTTTAAGGAATTATGCGATTTTCGAATATTTCTAGTACTTCTGAAAACTATGTACATATTTTCAAGACTCAAATCAACACCCCCCTAGCCCCCCTCAAAGTGGCACTTGTCCCGTTAAATAAATGCAATATAATGGAATCGTCAGTTTACTGTTCTGCTTCTTCTTTGATACAAACGTGGAACATGACACACGGGATGCTTTGAAACAAAGAAGCAGATAATGCATGCGATTTCCCATGTTTTGATCTCTGATCTTCAGATAAGGAATAAGGATACTAGATGTACTTGTCTAGAGGGAATCATTTCTCAATTCAAAAAGCTCCATTGGTACACCCTCTACAAATTACAAACAACAATAATTTACAACCTTCTACAAATTACAAATTTACAACTTGAAGAGAATGGAAGGGAGTTTTATAGTAGAGATTTATTGAATCTTGTAGAAGAGAGAATATAAGGAGAAATACAGACAATACGAGAGACCGACAAGACTAAAACTGAGGATGAGATTCGAGAAGAATTGAGGAATGAAATAGAAACTATGGATGGTGAATCAGAATTAGAAAGACTGTGGAGTGACATTAACACTATAACTTTTGATGGTATTAGTGATGCGTTTAAACTGTATTTAAAACAAATTAAATGATAAAGTCGTTGAAATATTTGCTTGACCTTCTGAAAGAGTTTAATTTCATCAATCAATAAATTCGACGCCCGGCTCTGTAACAAATCAACAAATTCTATTATAGTTATTTTAGTTATCATTAGTGTTTTCTATAACTGTATACACCTAACGCCATATAATACT